TAATCTGTGACTTTAGAGACGGAACGGTGAGTTTAATCTGTGATTTTTGTGTCAGCCTCCTTCGGCCAGGTGTCGTCTCCCACCCTTGGTGTGTACCAGATGCAGATGGGTCGGCTAAATCTCGAGGTGTCGACTGGAGACATCACCAAGGAGGCCTGTGACGCCATCATCAACTCCTCCAATCAGGAATTTACCCTTAAATCAGGTGACCATCCCTCTTTATTTCCTCCTCTTCCTCTGTTTGGTTTAGAGTCAATATCACAGTAAAAGTAGTTTACTGAACAATCCTTGTAGAATTCAATGAAGAAAACATTTCATCTTAAATTCCCTTCTGACTTCCAGCAGCATCGTTTATTGGACCTGTTCTTCTTCTTCTTTGTATAACTTCTCAGGAGTGTCGAAGGCGATCTTGGACTCCGCTGGATTAACAGTTCAGTTGGAGTGCTCACAGATCGGTATGTAGCTGGAATTTAATCTTCATTCATCCACAACACTGTGGATATTATTTAACTATTTCTTCAATTACTTTTAAATAATATTGTAACTATTCAACTATTACAATTAACTGATATTTTAACCATTTATCCATTAATTACGGCGCTCAGTAAACTGTTTGGCCATTTCAGCCGCGGTCGTGTATCTCCTCTTAAAATCAATAACATGTCTACATCTTTATATACGGCAAAGCTTGTGGGCGCCAACAGGAGCTTAATGGTGCATTCAGGTGTACCTCAGAAACCTGAAAGAAACTCCAGCTGTTCCCTCCTGCCATCTAGTGGATCTTCTTCTTGTTGTTTAACAGTTTGTCCCCACTTGACTGCTGGAATAAATAATCGTTATTACACATTAAATAAAGTATTTAAAGGTGACCTTATGGACACAGTGTGCTACAATCCCTAAATATGTCACACTTGGTACCATGTAGCGTTCTCTTCTTAAAGAACAGGTCAGGATATGAACCGCGACCTTAAAATCAAAAGTCAAATGGAATTGTGGATTTGGGAAAACCGTAACCTGCTACTTTTAGTTCACACTTACCCGTCATATTTAGTTTAACATTTGATAAAATGTATTCCTGTCTTTTAGCCAATGCATTTTGACTTTCTAACCAGTTAGTGCACCTTCCTGTATCTTCTCTCTGCAGTGAGTTCTCCGGGTTACCAGCCCGGTATGTTCATCATGACGTCGGCCGGCCTGCTGCCCAGCAGACACATCATCCACGTCGTGGGCCAGAACGATCCTGCAAACATCAGGGACCTGGTCTACTCGGTGCTGAAGTACTGCGAGGAGAACAGGCTCAGCTCGGTCTCCTTCCCAGCTCTGGGAACAGGTCAGAGCAAACAAACACATTTATATTAATGCTTATTTATCTGTTATTATTTGAATCTGATAGAGAAGCTTTGTTTCATTTGTATTGTGTGTTTTTTTAAAAGATAAATCTTCTCCTGAAGCGGCCGATGTGAGACGTAAAGTCTGGTTTCTCTCAAACATTTCCTCTTTCTTCTTCTTCTTCTTCTTAATCTGTTCATCTCTATCATTTCACTGGTTCACTGTGCAGTCATGTTTGGCTGTATTAGAACAGAAGACAGAAGTGAACACCAGCTTCAATGGACAGAACTCAAGACATTTTGACTAAATGTAACTTTTGGAGTTAACAGAATGATCCAACACTTATATCTCTAAGTCTTTTAATGACACACTATAATATGACTTTACAAAATCAGGAGTCACACAGGAATATTGATTCATGAAGTGATTTATTAACAACAAAATATTAAACCAAGAGTAAACCATCAAGTGTCACACACCATTCCGAACCTCTTGTCCATCATAACCATCATCACCGGTCCTCGTCCGTCCCGTCAGGTCAGGGAGGGGTCAACCCGTCGGCGGTGGCGGACAGCATGGTGGGAGCCGTGGTGGACTTTGTGAGGAAGAAGCACCCGAAGTTTGTTTGCAGCGTGAAGATCCTGATCTTCCAGACGGTCATGATGAGGGAGTTTCACAAGAGCATGATGAAGAGAGAGGGGGAGGAGCTGGAGGAGAAGAGCACCTTCGCCAAGATCAAAGGTAATCAGTAAAGTCCAAAGACTCTCGTTGGGATTTTTTCATTCTGTTTATTTTTTTTTCTCATCACTGTATCAACAAGTCTCATGTTCAGACTCAAAACAGCAATGTGTTGGTCCGTCTGTCAACAGTGTCTGACTTCCTGTGTTGTGTTCTCCGCTCCAAACTTATTGGTTCCTACTGAAGACGTAAATCTTTAAAAACACAAGTCATTTCCTAAAACAGCTGGTTACTGTAGTTTTCATCAAACAAACAGGAGGAAATAGTGCATTTTTTGGGGACTATTTTCAGCGACGGATTAACCCACATTTGTTTTCAGCAGGGCGGAGTAACTGTTGAACTTGTTGACTATAACAACAATACAGAAGCTCATCATCCTTTTAAGCGTCTCAGTAAAGCAGAAACTCCAGTTAAAAACCAACTTGTCTGTCTTGTTTTACGTCGTTTTCAGACACTGTCACGTCGTTCTTCCGGGGACTCGGGGACGAGCGACCCGCTACCGAAGGCCCGGTTCTGGAGAGAGAGGAGTTTGAACCCACGGTGTTTCAGCTGTGTGCCGACAACGACAAGGTAAACCTCCAACTATTCACTGTTGTCATTCATGTGAGAGAGGTGACAATATGAAATATGCTCGTAAACTAAACTCCCCACACTCGTTACTCACAGGCCGTGAGTCAGGCTAAGGAAAGGATCCAGGATCTGATTGTGGCCGAGCAGGCGGAGAGAACCATCACAGACCAGTACATCGGGAAGCTGTCGCAGGCCGACATGGACCAGCTGAGGGCCCTGCAGAGGAAACTGACAGTCAGCATCTGTCTGAACCGAGGGCTGGAGGACCAGGAGCCCAACATCCTCCTGGAGGGTCTGACCAGAGACGTCTACACCGCCGAGTCTGCAGTCAGGTCGGCAAATCAATTCATGCAGGAGAACAAAGAAAAATACAAAATGTTTGCATATTCCTTTAAATGTGTGTTGTTGTTTTTTTCTAAACCATCAGGGAAATCATCCACAAGGTGGAGAGGTCGGAGAACTTGAGGACCAAAGCCCTGCTGCTGAGCGGACTGGTGGAGTGGCAGTACCAAGACCAAAGTGGGGCGATGACGTCCTTCGACATTTACACCAACCTGGAGCTGGAGGAGGCTCTGGAGAAGAAACAGAAGAGCGTCAAGATCAAGATCAACAATGAAATGTACATCGCTCAAATCAGGTGCAGAAAGGCAGCGCCGGTGAACGGGCGTAAAGAGGTGGAGCTTCTGAGAAAAGAGGGGAAAGGTGAGTAAAGGAGCGCTACAGGATACACCACCATGTTTCTACATGAACATGTTCAACGAGCACGATGAAAACTAAATCAGTAGACCTTCTGAGGACCTACATCTCGGTTGAGTTGAGTCTCAAAGTAAACGTTCAAACTATCGTCAAATTTTTGTGTTTTTTAATGTCATTATAACAGATAGCACCATGTTCGTTTTCATCTATCACATCAGTAAAAACATGTTTGACCTCCTTTGTTTTCAGGTTCAAGTCAAATCTGCTTCACATCATTCACAGCTTATGAGATCCACTTTAAATTACTTTGAAGTTCACACACAAAGTTAAAGCTGTACAACAGAGATATGACACATTACATACATTTAATATTTTTACTGTTGTTTTTATTCTTATGTTGTAATTTACTTTTTCTATTTTAGCTGAATTCATTTAACTACTTTGATCTTACTCTTATTGCTTCTCTATTTTAACCAGGTGTCGGTATTTCTTCTTATACACTTAATATTTATCACTCACTGCTATTGTACGTACCTACTATTGTATGTACTATTATATATGTAGCGTACTATTATATACCTACTATTATACATACTTATTATATATACGCACTATTATATGTACCTATTATATATATGTAGTGTACTATTATACGTACCTATTATATATATGTACATTATACATACATATTACATATACGTACCTATTATATGTACCTACTATTGTACGTACTATTATATATACGTAGCATACTATTGTACGTACCTAATATTGTACATACCTACTCTTATACATACCTACTGTAATATATATATATATATATATATTATATATCATACATACCTACTGATATACATACCTACTATTGTACATACCTGCTATTGTACGTACCTGCTATTGTACGTACCTGCTATTGTAC